CCGTCCCGCGTCTCTCGCTTTTCTCCTTCAAGCAATCGCCTCCCGGCACGCCGCTGGGCAGCTGCCAGATGCGCTTCGACGGGCCCCTGCACGCCCTGCCGCTCAATGGTGAGCCCTCAGGCCATGGGCCTGGCGCCCACCACCACCACCACCACCACCATCACCACCACGACGGGCAGCCCTTCGCCCTGCCCAACCCTATCCGCAAGCAGGCCACTGCCGCCGCCGTCGGGTTCCCCGGACTGCAGATTGGGCATGCCTCCCAGCTCCTGGACGCCCAGGTGCCTTCGCCGCCTTCGCGGGGCTCGCCCTCCAACGAGGGGCTTTGTGCCGTCTGCGGGGACAATGCCGCTTGCCAGCACTACGGCGTGCGCACCTGCGAGGGCTGCAAAGGCTTCTTCAAGGTGAGCCACTGCTCATGCTGCCTCCTGGGGAGGCGCGAGGGGGGTGGAAGGTCATGTGTGCCTGTCGCCCAGATGCCAACTGCTATGCAGCTGATCTCCCATCCCTCTGTCCATCCCCTTCACTGTATGCCTTTATCCCTGGTTTATTGATCACCTGCAAGTCCCCACCTCCACTGAGTAGAAACTAATTCACTTTAGACTACAGCTATTGTCAATCTCAGGATTCGGCATGCAGATAGAACAGGATGCCCAATCTATGCTTGGAGTATTCGGGTTGCAAGGGTATAATGGGGGATCTAGCTTTAGCCCCCTTCCTGTCTCCAGGTGTTAGCTGAGTTCAGAATGATTTAGGGCATTTTAGATCAAAATCCACACTTACAGGGTTTTTTTAGTTCATAAGGAAAGGAAAAAGGTCAAGATAAGAGAAGCCAATAGGATCCTCACTTTATTAAATGGCATATATTGTCCCATCTATTCACTGCCCGACTATTAGGCTGTTGCTGTCTGATCCCTAAATAGTTTGGACTCCTTGTACAGAGAGAGTTGGGCCACATTTATATACACCAGATGGGAATGTGCCCCGCACCACAGAAAAAGCTGCGTTTTATTGTCCTAACTCAGATTCGAGGCCTAGTTATTCCTGCTTTATTAAGGATAACATTTCCCTCTAGGCTCCCCCAAACGATGCAACCCTTCGGTTCACCTCCTTCTTCCTACCAAGACATTGATGGAGGTACTGCAGCAGAAGAGGAACTAGCCTCTTTAGCAGATGAATTCCTTGGCATCATTTTCTAAACTGTGGGAAGAAAAGGCGCTTGAAGGAATTAGGAATTGTTCTTACTTAATCCTGAGCTTTGAAGCGTGGAAGAGAATGTGCCCCAAAATCCAGATTCCCTTCCTCTTTCCTCCCTCCCTCATACCCAGTCCGAGGTCCAAGGGGTTTCAAAATGCGCTCGGTGGGCATTAGGCCTGTTCCCCAAGTTATAATCTACCAAAATGATCTGAAACAGAGGAGGAGTTCTTGGAGTGCTGGGTGCCTGTTGCCCTCTCCTGATCTCCTCACCTTCCCCTCTGCCAGTCCTGTCCAACGTGGGGGGTGGGGGGTGCTGGTCCTGTCTGTGCCAGGGCTGAGCTGCGCGAGGGGCCCCTTTTGCAATCCGTCTCCCTTAGAACTGAAATTGCTTAGGACAGAGAGCCGTGTCTAAACTAACAAAGTGGGACCGCAATCCCGATGGTCAGATTAAGTTCTCTCTCCCCCCAACCTCCTCATTGAACAACTGCGTCCTTTGAAGAAAAAGGAATGAAAATAATAGGAATGCCTTGGATTTGTGTTGACTGAGCGACTCGTTCAGCTTATAGCAGGTGGGCCAGAAGTTGCGTGGCGAGCCCGCTCCCCATTTTTTTCTTGCTCGAGGCTTTGGAAAAAGAGAGACTGCTCAGGCGAGAGAGGGAGGAGGAGGAATCTTCTTAGCCTGCGAAGTGCCTCAAACTCAGGCCGCCTTCCTGGCTCCTCTCCTCTCCGCTCCTCACCTCTCCCTTCCCCTCCTCTCCTCTTGTCTCTGCAGCGCACCGTCCAGAAAAACGCCAAGTACGTTTGCCTCGCGAATAAGAACTGCCCAGTGGACAAACGCCGTCGGAATCGGTGCCAGTACTGTCGGTTTCAGAAGTGCCTTGCTGTCGGCATGGTCAAAGAAGGTAGAGCCTGCCGGTGGGTGGGAGCCCGGGGTGGCCACAGGCGCCGGCGGAGCAGCAGCGGGACCTAGCAGGTGTCCTCAGTCGCGAAGAGATCGGGCCAAGTCCCAGCTGAGCGCGCGCGCACGCGCGCGCGGCCTCTGCGCCAGCCATCCTTCTGGCTCTTGGGCGGCCCTTGGCTTCCCAGCTCGTTCGGGCCGGTCTGCAGAGGGGCTTCGAGCGCATAAACCCTCGGGGGAGTGGCAGGAGGCGAAGGCCTGTACAAACCTGGATCAGACTAAGATAGCTTTTCTGGGACGCGACACTTGCAGGGGCTGGGTTGGCTGCCTTAGTTTTAACCTAAAGGGACTCCAGGAGTCGGGCAGATTGGGCTCACGTGAAGGAATGCCCTGAGGCATCTGTTCCCGAACATGTTTTTCTAAACTCATTTAAAGAGTCAGCTGTTCGGAGCAAGACCTCATTGAAACTGGGTGCTGGGACCAAATGAAGCCTGGGAAACACTAAAATACTAACAGCCCCAATTTCTCCTTAGAAACTTTTCTATGGGCAAGGATATTCAGCCACAAAGTTCTGGGCCCCGTAGAACAGGGCACTAGGTCGGCAGGTTATATTTTCTTCTTCTCTCCCTGGCAAGGCAACCTGAGGCATGTTCTCTATTTACAGTGGTTCGCACAGACAGCTTAAAAGGCCGAAGGGGTCGCTTGCCCTCGAAACCGAAGAGCCCCCAGGAGCCTTCTCCCCCTTCGCCCCCGGTGAGTCTGATCAGTGCCCTGGTGAGAGCTCATGTCGACTCCAACCCGGCTATGACCAGCCTGGACTATTCCAGGGTAAGCTGGAGACAATATTCGCCTATGGGTCCACCTCGCGGGCCACAAAATAAAACGTGCCTAGTCCATACCAAGGTCATTATGACTCCCACCTCCACTTGAAGTGATTGTGCAGACATCTCCGAGGTGTTGGTGTCCCAGAGAGCTCGGATGTATCTGGGCAAGAACTGATATGTGCGTTTGCATGTGTGCCTGGTGAAGAGGGAAGGGAAACTTCCAGCAGATGTAGGCTGCATTTCTCTGTACACTTCTTGGACTGTTGGCTCATTGTGTGAAATAACTTTTACTTCTGTTAAATGTATATAAGATTGCTTTGTTCAATACCAGAAGTTATTATCTCTTCCCATTTCCCCCTGCCAGTAATTGAAGCAATGCTTTTGATTTGAAAAGGAGGTGTTTGCATTCAGATGTGCTTGGGAAATGAAAGACATTAAGAAACATTAAATCCAGGGCACCACACTCCCAAAGGAGGTGACCCGAGTACCAGCCTCCTGGAAACTTACCTTCAACTCCTTAGTACAGGGCATGTTTGTTTGTTTGTTTTTCTGCTTTATGGAGACACATGATGTAAGTTAGGTAGGGAGAGTCACCTCTTTTTCGGGATATTATTATTTCCTCCCTTCTCACAGTAGAGCCACATGTGAATGTACAGTTTTGAATACATAAGAAATGAAATATAATGATAGAGACCCACACACATTTGTGCTGAATACATTGTACATGTTTGTATTGTGTGTATAGATTGATGGATAGATTCCCCGGCCCCACCTCCAACTAATCGCTTCATTATCACAGCCACTCATTTTTCCGAACTGGCTTTCCAGAGGCTAAACCAAGCCCCTGGGATCTTTGCTTTGGGGTGTCTTTCTGGAGTGTTTAAAGTCGACCCTTCCTCCTGGCCACAGCTATTTCCCCTCTTTGAGGGGCCATCCCTCCTAGCGCCACCCCTAATTGAATTAATTGCCCTGGAACATCTAATTTCCTCACTGGCCAGAGCCAGGTTTAATTGTTATAAAAACTTGGCTCCCCTCCTCGAAATGGGGTTAGCAATTTCACGGGCTATAGATTTCAGAGAGCCTCATTAAATTGCTGGGGTCTTTCTCTCTTCCCTCCCCCCTCCCTCTCCCCCCCACCCAACTTCTGTGCAACGGAATCCCAGTTCCAGGCAAACCCAGATTATCAGATGAGCGGTGATGACACGCAGCATATCCAGCAGTTTTATGATCTCTTGACTGGTTCCATGGATATCATCCGGGGCTGGGCAGAAAAGATCCCTGGCTTCACTGACCTTCCCAAACAAGACCAGGATCTGCTGTTTGAATCTGCCTTCCTGGAGCTTTTTGTCCTGCGGCTAGCCTACAGGTAAGCAGGAAGTGCTCTCTCAAAGCTGAAGGCCACCTCCATGTGTATGCTTGAATGTGTATGTCTGTGGAACACATGTGCACGTGCACACACACAGACACATCTCTTGCGATCCTTCTGATGAGGAAACCCTGTGCCGTTCAAGGTCCGCTGAGCTGCATTTTATTAACTCCTCAGTAATTAGGTCCCTCTTAAGCCCTCCATTTATTGCTTGGCGAATAATTAGTTGTTTGCCTTTCTCTATTCCCCCCCTCCTCTTCTCTGGCCGCCCTGTGAACCCCCGGCAGGTCAAACCCAGTGGAAGGAAAGCTAATCTTTTGTAATGGTGTGGTCCTGCACCGGCTGCAATGTGTCCGTGGGTTCGGGGAATGGATCGACTCCATTGTGGAGTTCTCTTCCAGCCTGCAGAATATGAACGTCGATATCTCCGCCTTCTCTTGCATCGCTGCCCTAGCCATGGTGACAGGTGAGCCCAGCTTCCGGCTCTTTCTCTTCCTCTTTATTCTGATCATCTAGGGGTGTTTTACTTCAGATTAATTGATCTGGAATAAGTAACCAGTTTTCCAGTCTTAGTGACGAATATAGATTAAAAAATTTAAAGCAACTATAGTCTTTCAGGCAAGCTGAAAATCTCTGTTCCATGCGCTGTTTTAACTGTCAGGGCAGATGAGAATTCCTAGTTGGACAGAAATTCACACCCTTCCAATATGGAGTTAAAATCTACAATAGTCACACCCCTCACCCTAATTTCATTCTCGCATTTTTTACTGCATATTGGGATTTTTCACTTCTTTTTCCATAAAATGCTGCTTGTTATTCTGGATTAAGTAGACATATTCCTTCAACCTTCCTATCCTCCTATTTAAGGTAAACCAGAGTATCATCAGTTCCCAGCTGAATATGAATTAATCCAGAATAATTGCCCTTTTATACAATCACCTTTGGCAATAGGGAATAGAATTCACAAATCAAGATATATGCATGAAGTCATGTTTATGTTCACACGACACTGAACCACAAAGTAGCCAATCATATTTTTGGCTAGTTTTGTGTACATCCAACCCCTGTGATTAACTTAGGGTTCAGTGTGCCTGCTAACCCAGAATATTGGGTCAACTGATCAAACTATGGGGGTGTTCTATGAACACAATTTTTATGAGACAGAAAATCCACATTTCAATTACTATCATGCAGTTGGTTCTGTGGCATGCTGGAAGTTCAAGGGTACCTACTCAAATGGAGGAGTTGCAACTTCCACAGTTGCAATTTCCCACTGCTGTCTAATTTACAGCTAGTGTACTTCAAAGTAAGTCCCCTTGAGTACAGAAACTTCAGTTTATTCCAAACTATGTGTGTTTAGGATTGAAACTTTAAAGAGTAAGGGGTGGTTAAAGCAGGCCAGGGTCTCCCAATACATGATTTGCAGTCTGCGCCTCCCAGCAGGGCCTGCTGAAGTGCCCCTCCCTCAGCCACCCCCTTACATTTGTCCAGAGCTGGGTCTAAATCAGCACCTTCTTGTCCCTTGCAGAGAGGCACGGCCTGAAGGAGCCTAAACGGGTGGAAGAGCTTCAGAACAAGATTGTCAATTGTCTCAAGGACCACGTGACTTTCAACAACGGCGGCCTGAACCGGCCAAATTACTTGTCCAAACTCCTGGGCAAGCTCCCGGAACTGCGCACGCTCTGCACGCAAGGCCTGCAGCGTATTTTCTATCTGAAACTGGAAGACTTGGTGCCGCCACCAGCAATAATTGACAAACTTTTCTTGGACACTTTACCTTTTTAAAAACAAAAACAGAGAGAGAGAGAAAGAAAGAAAGAAAGTGTAAGGGGGGGGGAAATCTAGAAAGAAAGACTATGCTGCTGTGCGTTCAGAGTGAAGAACTTTCAAAGCCTCGAAGGGAGGGGGGATGCAAGAAAGCAAGCAAGCAAGCAGATCGAGGGCCCAGGAGAAAAGCGAGAGCCCCCCTGATCAGGAAGGAGCACCTCTGGCTGTCGCATGCTCCCATCCCTCCAAACTGTGGCTTAGCCTGTCCTGCCGAACAGTGACTGGAAACTGGGGGCTCTCTGGCCATGCTGAATTCCGTTCCTTGGACTACACACAGATTCCCATGGTACAAGCTTTTTATTCTTGCCTAAACAAACAAACAAACAAAAAAAGTCTCTTTCGCTCCCATACACTCCCTTTTCCCCAAAGCAAAACGACAAAAAAAAAAAAAAAAAGTCCTTTTCCCCCCCAATCCCCCCCTTTTCCCCAAAGCAAAACGACAAAAAAAAAAAAAAAAAGTCCTTTTCCCCCCCAATCCCCCCCTTTTCCCCAAAGCAAAACGACAAAAAAAAAAAAAAAAAGTCCTTTTCCCCCCCAATCCCCCCCTTTTCCCCAAAGCAAAACGACAAAAAAAAAAATAAAATAAAGCAAAACGAGAGTTCATTGCTATGGTTGTGAGGATGACTGTGACCAAGAACTGTAAGTTAGGAAGCTGAGCCTTGCTCAGGCTTTAGCTGCTGCTGCTGATGGCAAGAGTATTAAGATGACCCACTCAATCTCCCCTCCCCCTTTCTTAAGGCTTTTAAAGTGTTTTCTGCTGTAAAGGGAAAGCTGTAATATATAGAAGATGAAATTAAGGGGTGGGGGAGGGAGAAGGGGCGGCATGAATCGACAGAAGGCAAAGGATTGTACACTTATCAGATGCAGTTTGGCTTTTTCTTTCTAAAAAACAAAGCAAAACTATACTGTGCCTATTTATGAATAAGCTATTCAAACCATTATAAAATTAGAGAAGGAGAGAGAAAAAGAGTCATGCGACTGAATCAAGGGATTTGAACAAAAACATTTGACTATTTAAGATTTAAATCAAGAGAAAGTCTGATGATTCTAGAAAGACAATGTTATAGGCACTTGCTATTTCAGTAATGTCTATATTCTATAAATAGTTATTTCAGACACTATGTAGTCTGCTAGATTTTATAAAGATTGGTAGTTCTCTAAGAAGCTTCAAAAGTTTTTCTCAGTTGTAAAAAGGTGGGCACAGGTGTTACACAAATCCAACAGACTCCCCACCTGCACCCATTCCCGGAAAATCTTCCGAAAGGGACCCATATTCCCGTGTTTGTAAACACCGTTTGGCATTCCTTGTTTGTAAGTGTCGTATGTATTGTTGATGCTGATTAAAAAGAAAACAGTTTATATCTTGATTATTTTGTTGTCTGAGGAGAAACCAGTCTTGCATGCACAAGCTTTTTTGACTATTTCCAGAGTGTTTATCTCATATATAGATCTCCCTGGAAATTATTGAGCACTTTGACTTTTTATTTCAAGTTTCTTTTGTTGAGGGAGGGAGTTATTTTTTTTAAATGCCTAAAATTGTTAATATATTATTTTACGTATCAATACAATGTTTTTTTAATGCCATATTCTGTAGTATATCTATTTTTCTTTGTATATTTCCAGTATGGCATATTTTAAAATCACTGCCTTTTCCCTTTCCTCTCTCCCCCTCTACCCACCTCACAACTTCTCCTTGTGGTGTATATGACAGTTAGAAGCTGACACTTTCTCCCTAAACTCTTTCTTGGAGAAAGACAATTTTAATGTTTACAGCCAATAAATCCATGTCAACGAACAGAATCCCGTCTTTTTTCTCTTTAGAAAAAAAGCAGTCCCAGCAGCTTCCCAGGATACATAGTTACTCAGATGGTGATGGTGATGATGATGATGATTCATAGCACTAAAGCAGCAAGTTAAAAAAAAATGCTATATGTATGATGGCTTAGATGACTTGGGAAAGGGATTTGCTATTTTAAGAGGTGAAGGAGGAGGCAAAGCTAAGACGTACAGTTTAATTTCTTTTTCTAGCTTCAATTCTAAGCAGTGTTTATTGTTTCTATCATTTTAGCCTTCCTCTGAAGCCTCTGGAAACCTAAGTTAAATGCAGAAATATTTGCATTGTCTGGCTCTAAAAATTTAAATAGGCTCTGTTTAGTGCAATGCACTCTAATGGAATTAGCGTTTGTGAGTAATCTCCGCATCAGTCTCTGATTCTAAACAAGTTTGTTCTGCACCCAACAGAGTAGGCAAGATACAGCAAAAAACAAATGGGGCAGAATCAGGCTGGAATAGGTTAAGATATTTGTAACTGGAGCATTCATATTTTTTGCTGAAATTTAAATAGGCTAAATTGGATGAAATTGATTTTAACGGAGAATGTGTATGCATGTGTGCGGACACCATAGACCTGTGGCATGTTTAGTGGAAAGCAAGTTCCATAGAGTTTAAAGGATATGACGATCTACCAACTGCAAAGGACTGCAGTCTTACTTTATTGACAACGGAATGCTAAGGATATTTAACACATTCCTGTTGAATTCAGTAGGGTCCTTTCCAGAGAAGCATGTGTAAAATTGTGGTTACAATCCTAAATCATTTACTAGAAAGTAAACTATTTGAATTCAGTGAGATTTACTACAGAATTAGGCAGAATTAGGATTGGGTTGTTAAAGTTTGGACAGGAAATTAATGCCTCTGTAGTTCATCTGGGAGAAAATCCGGTTTATTTCAGTAGGATTTACTGCAGAGTAGGTATGTTTAGGTTCGGGCTGATGGAAATCAATGGAATGTACTTCCGAGATAAGGTTTAGGAAGTGGAAATGAAGTAATCCTATTTGCTAAGGCTGTAGATGCTTTAGATTCATCTGGAAAAGTGTATCTTTACTGCACTTTGAATACAGTACCTTCATTCCTCTTAAGAATCAATGGATTCTATTAGCATAGTAGGATTTTTTTTTCTATTTGAAGAAACATAAAATGCATAAACAAGGAAACACTGATTTTTGGATATCCCTTCTTCGGTGTCCCTCTGACCCATTAAACTTCAGACTCAATTTATCTCAAACCGAAATATACAGCGAAGCGCGGGGAAACAGCTAAGAAAATAGATGGGAGGACCCGAGTTCTACGTACAAACACTCACAGCCTCTGTGAGAAGGCTTTTTTTTGGATATAATGTATATGTTTTTGGGTGGGGGGTAGTAAAGCTAATCTCCCCATTATTTAATTTAGGGGGGATTTCTCATACGCACACAACTATTTTGCTGTGTCTGTTTTGAATTTGAGTCAGTAGTAGCGGCTTGTTTTACCTTTCCCCTCGTTCTCCTATGCTTACCAGCGTACAAGCGGCTGGGGAAGGCGGGGGTGGGGGGGAGGCTAAAGAGAGGCATCTGATCGTTGGAATCAAGGAAAGATGGCAGGCTCATCCAAGAGAAATAACAACAATTCTTGCCCAACAAGGGAATCCGCCGGATCCCTAGCCTTAGATTGATGAATTGCACGCCAGAGCCAGATCGGGAAAAAGAGCTGACTTTCCAGAGAAGGGTGTCTGTGACTTAGATAGCGCAGCTGGCGCGAGCCTGCTCGGGAGTGCGCTCTGGGGAGTTGAGCGGGGTTTATTTTTAAGGAAGGGGGCGAAGGAGCGCGTGGCCTGCCACGCTCGAGCGATCCTCTGCGCCAGCGCCCTTCACTCTTCTTTCCAGATTGGCTCATTCGGCGGCCCCGAAGGACTGTCACGAAGGTGAGGCGTCTTTCCCGGCATAACTTGAGCTCAGAAATGCTGCGGGGCCAGGAGGTGGCCACCTTTAGGTCCGACAGGAGGACCGGAGGCGAACTCAATCCTGGGGAGAAATCATGCTCCCGGAAGGGTTCCCCAGAGATTCCCCGCCATCCCTTGAGCCCACAGCCGGAGCTTCTGGCTCTAAGGATCGCACGTGCAGTTTGTCTTCCAGACGAGTCTTCTCAGTCCCGGTTTTATTTTATTTTATTTTATTTTTTGAAGCAATGTAGTTACATAGGTTGTAAGAAAGGGTAGTGAGGAGTCCAACCGGGTCTTCGGAGACCCTTTTAGAGACGGGAAATCTCTTCAAGCAGAAGCCCAAGGGAATTTAGATGGCAAGCCTTGCGGTGGTGAAAATTTCCCGCCGAAAGTAGCGGTTCCTTTACAGAAAGCGCCCGGCGTAGAGCGGCTCAACGCTGCACTCTCCTTTCCCGCCCATTTGCAGGCAGTTCCTCTAGAGGCTCAGGCACACGGCTGCTTCAGGCAGAACGGACGCCACCCCTCCATGCCCCTCCACCAGCCTAGCCCAGCTGTTATAATGGAGTGGAAAGGAGAGGTTGCCCCCCCTTTTCTCGAGGCGATTAGGTTGGGGGGGGAGTGTGAATTCCAGCGGCGCCTCGTTGATAATTGTGGGGAGGGAGGGAGCGAGCGAGCGAGCGCGGTGGCTCTGCTGGATGGGCGACTGAGGGGTGCGTGGCGGAGAAAGCGTGCAATGGAATGTGTGTCTGTATGGGTGAATTTTCTAGGAATTGCTTTAGCGGCGATGCTAGGTTTTAATCTGAGAGAGAGATGGGTGCGAGAGTTAGGGTGTAACCAGAAATAAAGCAAAGTTGCCTCTCCAGTGCTAGAACTAAGGAGAGGCTTGGGGATGTGCGGAGAGGCGGGTTTTTCTGTGCCGTCCCGCCAATGGGG